CCCCTGCTAGCGCGTGCCCCGGCGGGGGGCCGCGTCCGGGGTGCCGGGAGGGGTGTTGGGGGCGTCGTCTGCACTGGGCGGGGCGGGGCGGGCCTGGCCGGCGAGCGGGGCTGTGCGGGCACGTGGGCGGGCTCTTGGCTGTTGTGGGGGGGGGTTTGGAGGCGTTTGTATGGAAATGTTTGTGCAAACCTGGGGACATTGGGGGAATTCTGCGGGGTTACGGGAACTCTTTTGTGGAAATGTGTGGGTTGTTGGAGGGTTTTTTGGTTTTGTTTTTTTGGAAAACTGCTCATTGTCTGGTGGTATAGGAACTCTTCTGTTTTTTTTTGGTTTTGGGGGGTTTTTTAGATGGTAACTTTGTGAGGAAAACTGGCGATTTGGTTACTGTCGTTGGAAATGTGCTAATTTTGTGTCTGGAAGATGGTGTGGTAATTGTAGGGTGATTTGGGAACTTTTTGAAGTGAATCGTGTGTTGTGGGACCTGTGGAAAATTGTGTGGGGATTGGGTAAATGTCGGGGTATATGGGTACGGTGTGTGAGGGAAATGGTGTGGGCATTGGGAAACCTTTCTTGACGGCACGTGATGGCTTTTGTGTGGAAAACTGTTCATTTTGTGTGGTGATTTCAGCACTCTTCCTGGGAATGTGCTGGCTCGGCCCACGGGCATCATTTCCTGCGCTGCAGTGCGGTAAACGGGGCGTGCATTTTCACTCACGTGAAAGTGTGTAACGAGGGTCTGCCCTTTCTCGCAGGCTCCTCCTCGTGCCCCCGTCCTTGGAGCCAGCGTGTCAGCGAGGAGCCGCAGCGTGACAGGAGCGGGTCTTGGGGCAGAGGGGCCCCCAGGACCTGTCGTATCTGCAAGGGTCACTCTGGGTCACTTTGGGCACTCAGACAGGTGTGCGAGGCCTGCACCCGTCCCTTCGAAGCAGCGAAGGCCCCACAGGCGACAGGTGAGTATGTCCTCCTGCTTTGACACAGTCAGTGTGTTGAGCCCTAGCTCAAGTCTGAGATCGTGCCCGGTATGTAAAAGCCAATAAAGATACCAGGGATGAAAGTATAAAGAAAATTTATTGCTAGCAATACCAGGTGTAAGCGGAATAATTTTATGTAACAAGCACACCGATTTTTAATTTTAAGCATCTTTTATACAGGAGTATTGGACCTTTATAAGTATTCTTGTTTGTTAATTGCTTATAAGGGAGTGACGCAAGGAGTTTTTTTATTGAGCATGTCTCTATATCTGTGTTTTAGCTATGTATCTCATTTATATACATGTATGTTTTATTAGCATACTTTCTCCCCACCTAGGGGTGTGATTTTTAATATTTAAATGAGCTCTTTGTATTTAAATTAGCTCTTTGCCCTAGTCCTCTGATTCTGCTTTTGTTTTCAAGCCTCCTTTATCTAAGACTGTCTCCTCCTTATCATTGCAGATGGGCATTAGTTACATAACAGAGACTTTTGCTTGGGCTTTGTATAGTGGTTTCTAGGTCAAACCTGACATTCCCCCCTCTGGAGCATTTTTAATTATTTTTATTATAATTGCTCCACTCAATTTGTTTTAACACAAATCTAGTATTTTTAGCTTTTTTTGTTTGTAAAATCATTTGATTTACCTTAGGTCTGAAGATAGATAAGAAGATAGGTAAACATTGTATATAGCAACAGGCCATAATCCCTATAACACAAAATAAAACAACCATATTAAATAACTGTTTCAACCATCCAAAATTGGGAAGCCAGGAAGTTAACCAGGACAAGTCTAAGCCAGATGATTTTTTTAACGTCTGTGCCAATCGTTGTAAGGCACCAATTTTGTCTTTAATAAGTACAGAATTATCAGTGAGGTTGAAGCAGGACATTCCTTTTAAAATTTTATGCCTGTAAAGAAATCTATGATTTAATTGTTATCATGGAAACTTGGTCAGACAACTCTTTTATTCGAGTGGGACCATCAAATGTGGGACGTGCTCTGTTTGAGAAGGGAAGGTTTGGGGGTTGGGGGGCAAAAGTGGCACTTCCTTGTCTGTCAAAAATCTAGTTACTTCTCTGATCCAGCAGGGAGGTGGGAGATTTTCAGTTTATTTTGGGGGATGATAAAGGTGGCAAGAAGTTCAGTGGTGATATGATGGGGTCTGTTAAACTGGCAAGTCGGGAAGACAAGGCGGACTGATTTTTTTTTTTCCCCCAACACTTTTGACCTTTCCTTTGTAGATGAGTAGTCCTACAGCTAGTCCCCTCAGTAAGTAGCAGCCCAGCAACTTTCTGTAACAGCTGCCTGGCTCATTAAGGAGCTGAGTCCCCTATCTTGGAGAGGAGCCGTGCAAACTTAGGACTCAGGTGCCCCAGGAAAGGAAAGAGTCTGGCGCGGGGGGGAGTCTGTGCTTGCGGCTGGGTCGGAGCCGTGGGAGAGTTCAGGCTGCTGGAGCAGGGGACCTGCCGGTAAATGGAGGCAGTCTCTATTAAGCAGCCCTAGTTTCACAAGGAAAGGGAACGTGGGGAGGCATTCAACCTCCTAGTGATTGTAAGAAGTTGATTTCCAGGGAGGAATCATCTCGCTGCTGTCTGAATGGAGGTTACCGTTTAAAGCAACAGAGGAGCCCTGCACTGCTGTCTGGTGACCACTCGCAGCAACAGCAGTGCTGCTATTTATTTCTATGGGAATGAACTGAATTCCTGGTGGAGCTGAGGGTTCAAGTCTACAATTTGTGACTGGACATATATTGACAAGGCCGTTGTATATGGGATCACGTGTGGCATGGACTGTTCACTAATGTTGGGCTTACAGAGAATATTTTGGTTATGGGTTTGGATGGGTGTTGTTTCACCTATGTAATGCATATATGTAGATGTGTGTATTAGATTTGATATTAATCTTTTCTCTTCTATAAATGCTTATAGTTAACATAACCAACCCTATCTGTTCCTTAGGCTGGAGTGGGAAGGTGAGAGTAAGGAAGGTCCTTACAGCTAAGGATCTCTGTAAAATCCTTAATCTTACAGAGATTAAGGATCACCCCCTGATGCCCTTTCAGAAAAGTAAGGGTGGGAGCCACAGTAGGCTGGCCAGATTTCACCTCAATAAAAAGCCCCTTCAGGTTTAAACTAGGTCTAGGTTTGTCCTTTGATGCGGATTTGCTGTGTGTTGTCAAACAACCAGTGCTACACCCCAGAAGCAGCTGCATTTCACTTCATGAGCACTTTGGGCTTAGGACATACTTTCAGATCCCCAGGGATGGCAGATACCCTCATCAACAGCAATGATTATTATTGTGAGATGGTTGCCTCTTCTGCAGCAGAGGCCCCTATTTAGTAAAGTATGTAGTATGCATTTTCCTTTAGGCAAAGACTTGTCTGGTTAGATTTCATTGGTTAAATGAAATACTTTTATGAAGAGAACCAAATTTGTGCTTCTCTATTTGCTCTCTAAGTTTTGAACATTTAGGATTCAAAAGTTTTTCAGCTTTTGTGCATGCCTAGAGAGAGAATTCCTTTTATTTACATGCTAGCTGAGACTCTCACATAATCACTGCGCTCTAGGAGAGTTATCTCCGAGAGGGAGGGAGAAAGCCAAGTTCATAAAGCAGGGCTCACAGACGTTGCCCTAATGCAGTTTGCTTTACGTGGAGCTGCCTTTGAAGACCCTCCAAAATCTGCAGCTGGTGCAGAATGTGGCAGCCCCCTTTTTGAAAGGAGTGTTATGCCAGGAGCAAATTATCCCAGTGCTGCAGAGTCTTCATTGGCTTCCAATAGCTTTTTGGGTGCAATTCAAAGGGATGGTTTTGATCTATGGAGCCCTAATGGTGTGGGCCCTATACACCAAAGGGACCACTCCCACCATTATGTCTCATTCTGACCCAAAGGCAACCTCCTGCAAGTTCTATCTGTGTTTGGGGAGTTGTCTTTTATAATGTCCTATATCTATATCTATATGAAGGCCAAGCCAGACTTAGGAACGTTTTATACGTTTGATTTCTCAGATCAGCATCTGGAGTTCTGACAATAAGTGTTGTTTTTTTCTAGGGGTGCACCGACAGAGATTTTGGGCGCTGATACCGACAGCCGATTGTTTTAAGGAGGTGTATCGGCCAATACCGATCCCATTTGGATACAGCTGCATGCAGCTGGTAAGTCTGTTGTGCTGGACAGGGAGGGGTGTGTGGTGGTGGGGCGCAGATCAATGGCCCCTGCGGTGAGGGAGGTAGGGGGCAGGGGCAGGCTTTGCCCAGCCAGAGTGGGCCAGGGCACGGGATGGAGCCGCGGCTCATTGTGGGGGGGCAGCTCCCACTGCTGTGTGTTCCTGGGAGGGCATGGGGGAGCGTGTACCCCCAAGATCTGCGTGGGGCAGGGCAGGAGGACTGCAGCTGCAGGCTGGAGCTGGGGCTGTGCCGGGCTCTTCTTGGCAGAGGCTGGGCTTGGGGCAGAAGCTGGGCTCAGGGCAGGGGCTATGGAGGGGGCTGCAGCTACCCCAAATTTTGCCATAGCCCCTCATAGCACCACCACCGCATGCCTGGCACAGCTCCGGCTCTTCCTGGCACATAGGTGGAAGCATGCAGGGGTGCATGGGTGGGTACACGTAGGGGCATTTTTTGGCCAAATTATCAGCTGCATTGGGCTAATTTCTGATACAGCCAATTTTCTTTATATCGTATCAGTCCGATATTGGACCAGTGTATTGGTGCACCTCTAGTTTTCCCCCCTATTTATTTATTTATTTATTTATTTGATTTATCCCACAAAGGGCTCAGAGCAGTTTACAGTAACAACAAATTAGTCATTATAGATGTGCGCGCACACACAATAAGTGTTGGTTTTTGCCCTATGTATTTATTTATTTATCCCACAAAACGCTCAGGGCAGTTTACAGTAACAGCGAATAAGTCATATATATTCTATCTGGAGGGGATTTGGGACACAAGTTCAATAAACCAATTTATCCTAAATCAATTAAGTCTGATTGTATATCCATTCAGATTTATCTTAAACTGGTTTCAGCCATTTTGAAAGAGGTTTATGTGCACTGAACTTCTGTGCTAGGCATTTTATATATATATAACATGACTTATTTGCTGTTTCTGTAAACTGCCCTGAGCCTTTTGTGGGATAAATCAAATAAATGCACACATACATACATAGGGCAAAAACTAACACTTATTTTCAGAAGTCCAGGTGCTGATCTGAGAAATCAAACATATAAACTTTTCCCAAGTCTGGCTCAGCCTTCTTAGAGCCCCTTGGAGCCTGTTCATCTTAGTCTGTTTTCTACTTTGAAGGTGATTCTCACCACTAAACATGAATCATTTTTTGAACAATACAGTGAATTGGTGAACTCACCACCTTTTGTGTTAGGAAGGACAGAGCATAAAAGCATTGGGCGTGAGAGCACACAGCTGAGGCATATGAGGCAGAACCTAACCACCTTTCGCTTTCACCTGGACCTGGAGGCACATGCTGCTCTTCTGAGAGCAGCTGAGTTCACTTATAAGGCCAAGCCAGGAAGGGGTGCTTCCCCTCTTTTAGGGGTGATAGTGGAAGTGCTTTAGTGTGAGTACATGATAGACCACAGGGACTAGTTGGGTTTGCTCCTGTTGGGATACAAACAGTCCCAGGCTGAATTTTGCTTGTAATAATTTGTTCTTGAGCAGCTAGTATTCATCTCACAGCAAAGAAGGTCTGTGCTTTGCCTATGCCCCTTGAGCAGGGCCTGTTTAGGTGACCAAGGGACTCTGCATATATGTGGGGGTGTACACAGACAGCATGTATCTGTAACTTCTCTAGCTGCCTGCTTTGTAATGCTCCAGGTCTAGCTGTGGCACTCTGGCTGTCCATCTATAGTTGTCATTATTGAGTCATTTGCTTTGACCCTTTGAAGGTTCAAGTGTTTTCTAGCCTGAAGTGTGTTTTGCTCTAAGTGAAGGCTCAGCACCTCACGTATTCACAGCTCTCCTGAAACTGGGGCTGCAAGAGGAAATAAAATTTAGTAACCCTTGTAGCTAAAACTCCAGGTGCCAGTCTCTCCTCTGAGAGATCAGACCCATGAGGCTCTCTAGTCCTGGCCCTAACCTTCTTGGAGCCCTTAGAAACTCCCATCACTTTCTACCTGACAAGCTGCTCTAACCATGAAATACTTACTATTTGTCTGAGGAACATGGTTATTATTACTATTATACATTGCCTTCTTGCTGAATATGGCAGTCAGCAACCTGTATGACCAGACCCAGAGGTGCTGCTCAGTCCTCTGAGAAACCAGACCCATAATGTTGCCCCTGTGCTGCTTTGAAGCCCGAAGAGTCCTCCCAAACTAAGAGGCTTTTCTACTTGACTGGGTACTCTGGTCATAACCTACTCATCCCTTATCTGAGACTGGGTGAACTAGCTAACTCCATCTCCTTGCTGCATTAGCAAAGGGTTTCCATGCTGGCAGAGCAGTCTCTGTCAGGGAAGCCCAGATGTGGGTGAAGCAGGCTGATTTTAATGAGCTATTGCTCACATCTGGTGGTGGAGAGGCCCCCAGGAGCCTCTGCCAGGGAAGCCCAGAGCTGACCCTAAGGAGTTACTGCTTGTGTCTCTACCTGGCTCCACACCTGAGCTTGCTCAGAGGAGCTGACAAAGCCACTGCAAGGAGCTCCCCAACAGCCAGGCTTGCTGGTGCCTCAAGAGTGAGTACCTAAAGCATGTGATACCCCAAACACACCAGACCTGCACAGGCTTGGACTTGTTGTGGTACAGACTTGTGTCCCAGGCTCAAGTCCACGGATGCAAACACTATTACTAGGTCTAGGTGATGCTGAACTGCTTTGCACTGTGCTCATGCCTGCTGAATGGGTGTGCTGTTCAGTGGGCATGTCAGTGAAATCCTACTGAGTTGCCTTGGTTGAGCAACAGGAGTGCAGGTGTGTGTGTGTATGGGGGGGGAGGTTGGTGTAAAACAAGGCTAATGACTTTTTTATCAAGGGTGTTATTTATTCAGCCTGTCTCAGCAAGATTTCACATGCATGTGTGGCAGTGCTAAGGGTTTGACTGAACAGAAGTGCCATTGGTTTCCCTTAGTTTTATCCCCCAGGTTGAGAGAAATATGAAAAGGCCAAGCTGGTGTTTTGAGTGATGTGTACCTTGAAGTATTAAAGTGCTTTAATTTAAATTCTCTAAGGCATAATGAACTTGTCTTTGGCTAGACTTCTGGAGTCGGGCCCTCATTTTCTCCCTCATTTCCCTTCCTCCAACCAAACCAAACACACAAACAACAAAAATAATCACTGTCATTCAAGAGGCACAAAGCCTGTGGTTGTCTTCATTTGCTTTCTTAGTTTTGATCCTTTCAGATTCACAAGAGTTTGTTTTTTTTAGTTCCTGTCTGCATGCAGGGCTATAAGCAAAGCCTGAGAATCTCTCTTAATCCTAGGATCTTGACTAAGCAAAAATATATCGTGACATACTGCGAAACTTAGCAACACGTATAGCCAGAAATCCCATAGCTGCTCAGGTTTTTGAAAAATATCATCCCCTTAAGCCTGCCTCTGGGTTTTGCATCTCTTAGGAACCTTAACAAATGAAGGGGACTTGCTACTTTGCTGGGCACTCTAGCCACTAAATATTAGCCAGCTGTGTGAGAGAGAGCGACTTGGGGAACTCCATCTCCTTGTGCATTAGCAATGGGCTTCCATGCTGGGGCAGGCTGTGGGTTGAGAGGGAGGGGCAGGGCACTGGCATGTTCAGCACTGCACATCCTGGTGAAAGGAGGGGGTAGGGGCAGCTCTGATTTTTCTATGATAAAAAAGCCAAAAGTAAATGCTGATGTGGATAGATATCTAGAATGTATTTTTATGATGATAATAGAGGCACTGGTAGGCTGCCAAATTGCTTTAAACTTGTAAATAGGTCAATAAAACATTGCCCGACTGATCTCTCTCTCTATATAGTGGTGTTTCATTTTGATAGCGAAAGAACACTATTTTGGTTATTTTAAAGAGGGAATTTGGCTTTCTTATCAGAGAGTTTGCAATTTTTAAACGGGGAACACCAGGATCTCAGGTGGTGAGACCGGGGCAGAGGAGCCTGTCCAGGGCCAGCACTGGGGACCCAGCTGGAGGGCAGCCGAGGTGGCTGACCTGTTGGCCATTTGGGCCAAGTGGGACACACTTGGACAGTTCAATGCAGGCCACTGCAAGGAGCACATTTTCTGGGCGATAGCTGCCCAGATGGCAGAGTGAGGGCACCCCATCTGGGTCTGGCAGGCACACAGCCATGGGGCTGCAGGTCCAAGGGGGTGGATGCTTTTGCAGGTGGCAGCAGTCACAGCCAGGCAGCAGCCCCTGCTGCCAGACCACTGCAATGGGTAGAGGAGGCAGGGGCCACTCCAGGTCACAGCTGCTTTGGCAGTCCAGCTGGCACAAGGGGTAGTGTCCCCAGACACCACCTGTCTGGCCCTCCGAAGCTCCTGAGGGCAAGTAGCCCTGAGCTGCGTGTCAGGGCAGGTTTTCATACTGCTGGGGGCAGCACAAGTGCTGGCCCCCGGCTTTAGTTCTCCCTGGCTGCAGATCTGGGAGGACCTGGGCAGGGTCATTTTGCCCCAAGTGGCACAACTTGCCCCACACCAAAGTGCATGTCCAGGCACGTGCGCAGAGGCAAAAATCCCTCAAGGCTTCAGCCTCAATTCCCCTGCTGCAAACAATTCTGGGGTGTGTGGGTACCGTTCACCTCGGTCCGCAGACCCAGTGTGAGGTCTGGGCTTTGCTTGCCCCCTCTGGCGAGGGGCTTTGGTTTGTGGGCATGTTCTGCTGACTTCGGTGCATAATGGGGAAGGGGGGGAGAACTTGGGGAGACAAAGCCTTAGTCAGCAAAGTATCCAATGCTCACGGCAGCACTCCCTGATAAGCCGACTGGACAGAGCTGACACTGGTTTCATTATCCAGGTTGAGAGAAATCCAAAAAAGAGCCAAGGTACCACTTTGAGTGATGTCTACTTCCGAATCTAATTGTGTTTTTCTTTTGAATTTTCTGAGGTATCGCACAAGCATGTGTGTGCTTACAAGCGGTGAGGCCAGCTCCTCATTCCCTCTCTTGCCCCTCCACCCACCACCAAAATTAAAATGTTACAAGCCCTAGACTTGTGGTTGTCTGTCTGTAT